TATAAGCCTCTGGCTCTAAAATGCTAATTCTCTTCCGGGTTTTAGGACTACTTTGCAGCTCAAGCTTGATATCACTCACAGTGATGAACTAGTAATCTTGTCAGTGGCAATAATCAGTTCACCAGCAGATGGAACTACAGTGGAGATCAAAATTAGAGAACAATCTATAAATATTGTTAATCTTCTTACTCAAAAGTTGAAGGAATATTAGCTGTAGGTATATCACTGTTATTCTAACATGTTTGACAAAATAACCAAGGCATTTCTACAAAAACCTTTATTTTGTGGAAAACATTGTGATCAAAATTAGAGAACAGTAACCACTGTTGCACGAAAGAAGAATACAACTAAAATTTTGGAGAGTTATGGCTGTCAGAAATTAGTAGTAATTGTAAAGGCCCCTGCTTTCAGTGACTTTTGCACATCTGCTGCCACAGGACATCACTAGTTTCTCATACTGCTCTGGTGTGATCTTGGTCCACTCTTCTTCCACAGTTCGGTAACTTTAGTGGGTTTCTTAGCCGTAACTTTGTCGCCAAGGATTTTCCAGAGATTTTCAATTGGGTTTAGATCAGGACTCTGGGCCGGCCATTTCATTATTTCAGCGTTCTCAGCTTCAAGGAACTGCTTTACCCATTCTGCAGTGTGACAGGAGTATTGTCTTGCATGAAAATCGCAGGCTGATTGGGACATGCTTGCAGGGAAGGTACCGCATGTTGTTGAAGGAGGTTCTGATAAATATTTGCATTCACCCTTCCATGTAACCCATAAGAGACCCAACTCCTGCAGCACAAAACATCCCCCAAATCATGACACTCCTGCACCTTTTACTGACTTCTTTACTTGGGCTTCAGTCTTTGCCCAGTTTGGCGCCAAACAAAATGTTTTCCATCAGACCCAAATAAATTAAACTTGCTCTCATCACTAAAGTGAACTTTGGACCATGTTCTCCTCTGTCCACACAACATGCTCCTCAGCAGAGGTGAGATTAGGCTTTTGATTCTTTCTGCTGATGAGAAGTTTGGTCACTGCAGAGTGCGCTTCCGGTCCAACTTCTATTAAACATGCCGAGACAGATCCTATACCCTGTTCAAGACTGAACAGGTAAGCAATTCCAGCTGTGGTGTTGAATCAATTCCCCATTGAGAGTCTCCGCATTATCCTGTCTTCTCGTGCATTTGTCTTACATGGATGGATGACCAGCCTTTTTGGGGGACTTGAATGAATTAATTCATTGTAAAGCTGCAATATTCAAGAAATCACAGATTTGGAATGACCAACTTTTCTTGCAATGGCTGAAAGTGCCTTCATCTGGACAACTTCCTGTCGCAGGGTTTCTGTCACCTTAAAGCGGCCCGCCATCTTGCAATCTCAGTGAAAATTAGAGGAATGCTGCTAGTTAAATAGGGCTTGTCATATAATTAAGGAAATTATCACCAGGTGCCAGATTAACACCAGTAACTTGGAGGTATCTGTAAGTGTTCTCTAATTTTGATCAGAGTTCTTTTTCAAATATCTCATTCAAGATTTTTATACTGTGCTCCAGAATACAATTAATTTATGAAATATGCTTAAGAAACTGCCCTTCTACTCCTGTTAACTTCAAATAGGACTAAGCAGTGACCTTGAAATTTAGGAAATTGCAGGTTGTTCTCTAATTTTGATCTTCATTATATTGTGCCAAACTCAAATATTTCTCAAAAAGCAGCTGTTAATGTAAAAAAAAAAAATGCTGTCAATTTTAGGAGTAGGTATCAAATGACTAGCCATGAAGAATGATGTACTGCATAATGTTTTAAATATTTTAGCTATGTTTTGGACTGTATATTTTAATCTGAAAGTCATGTGAACCAACTGGTGTATAAAACTAAGGGGAATGTCAAAGGGAGAAGACAAATAGTCTTTTCCCACCCGCCGCTACACTAACACCCATGCTGACCTTAACCACCTCTTGGTGTTCTTCCCCCAGATGACTTAAGTCGTAAATCCCATTAGTCAAGGTTTCTCAGAGCCATTAAATGTAATTTTCCCAATTTCTGTGGATTGTTTCATCATTTAAGTGTGCTGTGAGAGCATATGACCATCAGTCACTCTGCTAAACATATCTCCACAAAAAAAATGTGCAACATTGTATAAGCTATAAATTAAGCAAAGAAAACAATAAGGCATAAAATATTGTATTCCAATTAAAAATATATATATATATATAATTTTGAAAAGCTTAACACACACATTTCGATATAAAATAATGTTCTCTGCTATTAATTCCCATGCATCAGACAGCATAGCTGACATGAGACATGCCAAACATGACAAAGTCTAATCTTGTTCTCTTCCAGTGTGTCACCTCACTCTCAGCCACCTTAAACTCATGCCCCACTGCAAATCATCCATGGCAAGGCCAGCCTTCCAGTCGTGACCCTGCTTTCATGTGAACCCATACAAAAACCCGGAAGTTTAGCAGTAGGGTTTAAGGTTGAATCAACCGGGGTTTGATTTTTCAACCATGTGTTTGGGGCCGACTGAACACTTAGTTTGGGTATTTTTGAGATTTATTAACTCCTGTTTTGTATTTAATATAAGTAGGCAAGATAAACAGCTG